TTTTGAAGGCTAAGTGGAACTAACACTGCCATAAATGATCTTGCACACCAAACTCCATTTCTACACTCCAGTGATGCAAACAATTCAGTTCTTTCAGACAGGATCTGCCAGCAATGGATAACTTGATGCTTTTGGTTTGTATGGAATCATAGAATCTCCCGAGTTGGAAGGGAACCACGAAGATCATCAAATCCAACCCCTGGCCCTGCACAGAACACCCCAGGAATCCCTCCATGTGCCTGAGAGCATTGTCCAAATGCTCCTTGAGCTCTGTCAGGCTTGTGGCTATGACCACTGCCCTGGGAAGCTGTTCCAGTGCCCAATCACCCTCTGGAGATGGGTTCTTCCCTCTGGGGGATGAACCTTTCCACTGTACATGAAGACAGAGTGTCTGCACCACATTTACACACCCCACAAAACCCAAACCAGAAACCACTGCTCATTTTACACCCATGTGTCACTTCTCCATCAGTAAGAAATTCAGACTGAGTAGCAGCAAAGCAGCTCTTGGACTTACATTCCCTTGGCCATCAGCTGCATCTCGTTCATTGTCCTCTTCATCTGCCATGCTCTGCTATATATGGGCAAAAAAAAAGAAAAGATTACTGATGTTAATCTTTCATTTTTCTTCTGAAGCTCCTGCTCTGATGATGACTGGAATATACAAAGCCATTTTTAGTTACTAGAAAGACAGTAATTTATCTTCCCTAGCTCACAGCAAAAAAGTGGGCTACAGATTGAGAATCTGAGATAAATCCAGCATCTGGCTTTGTGGGGCGCAGGGAGAAGTGCTGCCTCATGATTCTTGTCTTATTGTGTCTGTGCTATAGAGAGGACCAAGCAAGTGTAGATTCATGCATGGATCCACAATCAAAGCAGAGTGGATCACACCTGAGAAGCAGCACTATGTATTTATATTTGGAATAAACCCAGTAAGCATAGGGATATTATCACACTGACAAAACCTTTCAATTCCACAGTGTTTTACAAAGGGCAGATCAGAACACATCCCTAAAACACAAATCTATAAACCAATGTTTAATAATTGAGAACTTTCTTTCTTATCTTTTAAAGCTCAGTCTGCAGAAGAATCCACTCCAGCTGTGATACCACTGTGCACTATATAATGAGTTATTATACAGTTGCTTACATTATCTCACAGGTACATGAAGCAACAAGCAAGTCCATTACTGACAGACATCCTCCAATTTGACAGGTACTTTTTCCTCGCTTTCCAAAGACAACTGCTCCTACTAGGGCTGGGCATCCTCTACAAGGTGCAGAGGGTCCTCCACCACACTCCTGATGGACCATGAAATCCAAGCACTGCACTTATTGCTGAGAACATGAAGCACTGGATGGCACATACCTGCTCCTTCAGGTTTTCTAGTAATGTTTCTATTTTCCATTTGTCTTCTTTCACTTTTTCTAACTCAGCTTCTTTCTTTTTGTATTCCTCTTGAACTTTCAAAAGATGCTGGAAGAGAAAGATCAACTCAGTTCTTAACCTGCCTTCCACCTCCTCCCATTTAAAGACTATAGAATGAAGAAGGGCTTTTCCATGAAGACGACACAGATCACATCCAGAACTATTATAAGGTAAGGATAAAACAAAAACCTACAGTGTACCATAGAAATGTCTTTGCCTATTAGCATATAGAAAAGCATGGCTGTGCAACCATAGGGCAGTAATTCCCATTAATAGATGGGATTTCCCTCTTCCTTACTCACATGGTTATGGAGCAGGTAAGCACACACTTGGTGCTCTGGAAGTCACAGCATAGTCAAGCAAAGACCACACAAGGAATCCATGAACTATGGATTGCTTCTATGTGACACTGGTTCACACACAATCAGTGATTTCAAATTTGGTTGTTTGGGTTTTTTTTGGCAACACTGAAAATTACAAAGTTGCTTCAATTTGCCAGTTTGGATCCCACAGCAAGCCAAAATGCCATTACCTGTTTCTGTCCCCTATCCCAGCCCCTTTGCCTCTGCAGCAAGGTCCCAGCTAAGGCAAAGTCCAGGCCCACCTTCTGCATTCCCTGCAGAGCCTGCTGGAGGAGCTTCATCTGCTGCTCCTTGGTGGTGTCCTCATCCCGGCTGGCTTTGCCCTGCTCCTGCTTCAGCAGCTCCACCTCGTTGCGGTACGCGTCCAGCTGCCAGCGCAGGCTGTCGTTCTCCTCCTTCAGCGCCTCCACCTGCGACATCAGTGCTGGGGAACAACCCAGAAGTCAGAAAACTGGGGGCAAGAAGCCCCTGGGTGCTCTCCCCCAGCACACAGGGGCTCAGCAGCTCTGGTTACGAATCCAGAGCACCCAAAGGAATATCTCCCAAGCACTGTTTGGGATATCACAGGGCTAGAACACCTCTGCTATGGAGAGAGTCTGGGAGAGCTGGGGATGTTCAGCCTGGAGAACCCTTCCAGCTCCTAAAGGGGCTCCAGGAGAGCTGGGATGGACTTTGGACAAGGGCCTGGAGGGACTGGACACAGGGAATGGCTTCCCATTGGCAGAGAGCAGGGTTAGGTGGGATACTGGGAAGAAGTTCTTTCCTTTGAGAGGGGTGAGGCACTGGCACATGTTGCCCAGAGAAGCTGTGGCTGCCCCATCCCTGGAAGTGTTCAAGGCCAGACTGGATAGGACTTGGAGCTCATGTGAACAGTGTCCCTATCCATGGCAAGGGATAGAACAAGATGAGCTTTAAGGTCCCCCTCAACCCAAATCATTCCATGATTCCCCGATTTCTTTGCAAAACAAGCTCCTCTAGACAAAGAGCCCCTCTCAGTGTGAATGCAGTATTTAGATTTAAAGAGGAAAAAAAAAAAAGGAGGAAAAGAACCTCTCACACAGACATCAGGGGTGCACTGGAATGGGACATCCCAGCAAAGCAGCTGCAAAAGCAGGGTGGCCTCAGCCTCACACTGCTGCACCTATACCATTACCTGCACACGTGGCAGGGAGCTTACAGCTTCTCCACATCCAGCTCCATGAATCCCAAATATCTCACTAGGGACAGCAGCTCAGACACCACTCTAGGTTCCCCTCACCATGGCAGGGAGCTGTGACAAGCACTGGCTACAGAGCCAGGCAGAGAAGAAATGGCTCCAGGTTACTGCAGCTGATTTGCTCTGCCTGTGACCATTGTGGGGTACGAAACACTCAGAATGGGGCTCCTAGCAGAAACTGCTGAAGAGAAGTACTTTATGAGCTGTACAAAGTGATTTTACCCGATTCTTCTGTTTCTTTCATCTCTGATGGATCTTCTATTTCTTCATCAGACATTTCCATTTCCTCCTCTCTCCGAATACCCATCAGCTCATCATTATGGATGTTACGGATTTCCTGAGGTTCAGAAAGTAGAGGGGGTTTCAATGCAGGTTACAAGAAACCGATTGGTTGGATGAAAAGTTGTTGAAGTCTCAGTCTGCAAAATGCAACTCCATGATACAAGAAAGGGGAAATGACTTAAAAACTGGCACAGATGATTAAATCAAGGACAATATCCAGCATGAGTCAATCTGTCAGTCCTATGGAAATTACTGACTCTTCCATCCCTTCGGCTCTTGCAGTGAGGCAGGTCAGCCTTGCTGTGGAAACCACAAGGAATTTTGCTCAGCCCTAAATTCTCTAGAGCCAAAAGTTCCAGCCTGAGCTGGGACAGACCAAACCAATGCCACTACAGCTGCATGCCTGCATGTACAGCCAAGGACATTTGCCTACAAGTCCATCTCTTGGCACTACAAATACCTGCAGCCCCTTGAGCCCACCTGTGTGGCAGCAGGTAGGTGGCAGGGTGGGGGTCTCCCTTGAGCAGGGACCTCCTCAAGGTTACCCCAAAAGGCTGAGAAATCCTTTACTCAGCATCTGATAGCTACAATAAGGTAAGAGACATTTTAAATTATACCTAAAAACATATCATATGCTAGCAACATTATATATAT